GGCTGGAGCCCGGCCTCAGCGCCACTGGGTGTCCGCTGCCTGGGCCGGCCGGGCGCAGGAGGGGAAGCGAGGGTGACAGCGCCCCGAGGCCGGTCACAGGCCCTCCGCTGTGTGTGCCTGGGTCTCCCGGCCCCAGGCCCGGCGCTCACCGACGCAAAGCTCCAGGCCAGTGGCCGCGTGAGCAGCAGAGTGACCGCTGTACACCGGGCAGCCCTGCACTGGGCCAGGCAGGGTCAGCACCGGCTCCCAGACAAGGGGCGAGCGGCCTGCACGTTGACAGGGTGGCCGTGGGGAGGGCGTGCGAGGCCTCACCCCGAACCCCAGGCCCCCCGGGTGAGAGACTGGGCCGAGAGCCCTCCCAGCCTGCCCAGGCCCAGCCCGAGGCTGCCTGGGGGCTTCCAGCTCCGGGGCGAAGCCAGTCCAGGGCCAGCGGCGGCCCCACCCGACAGGTGGCCACCACGGGCGCCCCGAGGCCAGGCTGAGCAGGCGCGGCGCCTCCCGGGCAGCCGTCTCCTGGCCAGTCACCACGGGCCCAGCCCGTCCGCCCTGCTGACCCTCCCCGCTTGGGCTCTGTGGGGTCCCCGGGACAAGGCCGGCACCACGACAGGCCCAAGGATGGGGGACCGGCCCGGGCGCTGGGTCTGCACCCCAGGCTATGCGGCCACCCCGGGGCACCCCGGGGCTTCACTGCCGGACACCGCGACCGAGCGGCGCATGAAGGTGATGTGGCCCCCGTGAGCCTGGTCAGCGTGCAACGCTTGCGCCCCAAAAAGCAACGTGCAGGCCGGACTGAGGAGCGGCCGCTCGGCCACGGTCGCTCGGGGCTGGGGCGCGTCCTCCCGGCCCGGCCCGCCTGGGCCTCGCGCTCAGGGCTGTGGGGTGGTGCCAGATCTGTGTGCCAGTCCCGCAGCGCGGCCGAGCCCCTGGGGCCGAGCGGCTCCGTGTAGGTCCCAGCGAGGCCTGAGGGCCAGAGGCGCGCAGCAGACTTCTCTGGGGGTTACCTGAGCTGGGTCTTGAGGGGTGCGTAGGAGTTGGCGGGGTCAGAGGGCATCCCGGGCAGGGGGCCACTGGCTCCTGGCCCCGACACGGGTCACGAGGCCCAGGGGCCACCCGACCCGACACCCCACAGCTTTCCAATCGTCCCTGCCGCTCAGCTGGCAGAGCCACGGGGGCGCAGGCCAGAGATGACCTCTCCCAGCCTCCAGGAGCTTCCACTGACCAGCTGTCAGGCGTCTGCGCTGCCCGGGGGCGGCCCTCCCTCCCCCCCTCCCACAGGGGCTTCTCCTGCCTCCCGGAGAGGGGCTTCCAGACCCTTCCTCAGCACCAGACCTGAATGTCCAGGTTTGGGGGAGCAAACATAGCGACCACTTTAGGGATGCGCCTGGCTTTTGGTGTGGTTTACGCTGTGGACAGATGGGGGTGGGAGCGCTGTGGCAGCGGAGGGCGGCAGCCCCAGTGGGCGGGAGGAGCCCTGCCCCAGGAAGCCCCTCCAAACTGGACCCTGGGTCTGCTGCCCCCACACAGGAGGGGTCAGCCTGGGCAGCTCAAGGCCGGACCCCCAGACCAGAGCCGCCCGGGCTGGGAGCGGCTGCCTGTGCTCAAGGGGACAGCCCGAGGGAGCTGGGGCCAGCGGCTCCGGGAACACAGATAAATCACACACCAGCTGCCAGCCGAGGCACCGGTGCCCCACCCTGAGCCTGGTGCGGGGCGCAGCTCGGGGAGCCCTGGCCTGCCCTCAGCTGGAACACCCCCGCCCCTTCCCATCCCCAGGCCGGCCTGTGGCCGGTCAGCGCCTGGTCCTGGCAGGGCGGCGGGGACGGGGAG